AAGTATACCTTCTTTACTGGCTGTTCAGTAGAACGCGATGTCTTTGAACTGTACTGCCGCTTGTGTAAACGATAGTATACAATACACAAATTCCAACCAAACGTCATTCTGTTCTCATGGTTGTGCCCATTTTGGTCGTGGGACACGCGCCTGGTTCTGCGAGAGTGTTTAGAGGATTAAGCCCAAGATCCTCCGTTTGAAGCGACCACACTTCACTCTTACATAGGTGATTCTTTAAGAGTATCCCGATTACTCCCCTTAGACCACCGTGTCTATTGGTTAAGAATCATTAAAGCATATTTATATGCTAACCTCATCATTTTCGGGAGTCACTATCTTCAGCAGGAACAGAAGGGACTGACCGAAAGTTCCGGTACCACCCCCACAGTGACCTCGCTTTATCCTACAAGTAGGTTGTCCCATTGAACCTGGGTACCAGCCAGGTTGGGTTTTCCTTCATAGGACTATCCTAGCACAAGGGCTTCAAACCCATTCCTGCCACCAACTTCTCATGCAACTCAATTGTTAACCCTTTGGTTAGCGGATCTGCCAGATTATATTTTGACTTCACATAGTCAATTGTGATAATCCCAGTTGTGAGAAGTTGTCTAATGGTTTTGTGTCTACAAAAAATATGTCTAGACTTACCATTATACATGTTACTCTTTGCACGTGTTCTTATGTATTTCTGAATCATCAGATCTATACACTAAGAATCGATACGCGCTACCACTCTAGCCAATAAAGATTCCATCAATGGTCTTTAGACCAAACTTTATTTCCTTTGGTGGTGGTGCTAAAACTTTTGCAAGGCACCCCCACACTTTCAGGTATTTATAGGAAGGTTTCCTATTACACCACAACTCGTAAGGATTCTTAACGAGTTTTTTTTCAGGGTATTTTATTTAACAAATAATTGCTAGATAAAATAGCCTCCTTTAGGACCAGTTTTCTTCTTGTCCTTGTTTGGCATATGCCATACTGGTCATTCCCTCACTTGGCCCGAACACGAGTATCTTCACATCCGCACCGGTCGTACATCCTACTGTTATGCTGCCTGCGAACTCTGTCAAAGAACCGGCAAAGTTCACAGGTGTTGGTTTTAAAATATGGCAGCAAAGGATGTTATTTTGATGAGATGATTACAACCGTCCGTTGTAATCCGTATAAAAATTGTAACATAACCTTCATAGATGAGTTTTAATGTTTATTTCTTGGTAATTTCTTGAGACTAACTGATAAAACTCATCCATAAAGCATATTGGTTTTGATTTTAAGTTCCACTAGGAAGACTAATAATTGAGAGAGAAATGACCATTTCAGTTTTGGGTTTAGAGCTTCGAACTTAGTGACGGGTTTGGAAAGAGTACGAGAGAAGAGAGGAAGTTTAATTAAGAAGAGAGAGAAATATGAATATACAATTTTGTCCATGTTCTTAACAAAAACATTAACAAATGATCATTCGTGAAAAATGATATAATAATTAGGGACTAGATTAGTAATATTTAATATGTATGGACTAAATATGTAAAACGACTTATATATAACTGGAGACCTTTTATAAAATTTTTCTCAAAATTATAATAGAGATCTCACCCACCCAACGAAAATCACCCAGTTGGTTGAGCTTGACTTTCGTTTCAAATGGGAAGGTCATGACTCAATAAGAAAATCAGAGTTAATATACCAAAATAGGACTTTCATGTTTTTATTTCCAAAATAGGAGTTACAATGCATTTACATTACCAAACATAGTCATATATATTACCAAAAGTATAGTAATGTGCATATGTCCACTATCACATTGCAACCATACTACCACATTGCCAAGTTACTCCCTCCGTTCTAAAACTTTCTTCCCACTTTCCCTTTTTCTCTGTTCTAAAACTATTTTCCCATTAGAAAAAAAAGATGACAAATGACATTAATACCATCATATATTTACACCAATTATCTTCTAACTCTATATTTTGAATGACTGCAAAAAAAATTCAAAAAATCTTTTTTAAGGAGGATAAAATTTGAAGTCAAAGCCAAAAATTAAAAATGGGGAAAAGTCAAATTGAGAAGAAAGTTTTAAGACAGAGGGAGTATATTTTAAGAATAAAAATATGGAACTTATTTATTTATTTATATGTTTTAGTTATATTTGGCGTGATTTCTAAAATCAAATTTCTTTTTCTTTGTTTCAAATTTGAGAACCAAATGGGGTATAATTATTCTTGTCAAATGGACTCTGCTCTGTTTGGCGTTTTCTAGTTACAGACTCGGATCCCACTTGACTGGGGTCAGTCCTTCCCGCCCCCCCGGAACCCGTAATTTGCTTACCGGAAAAGATGTTTCCCCGCCAAAGGAATGTGTTCAAACACTTCAGCTATAGTATAAACTAACGAATGAGAAAGTTCTATAAATAGGCGATGGCTGTGCTCCGAGCTGCTCGTGCAGCTTTCGATTATATGCTTTCTGCAACCATCTCATCATAAACTTCATCTCCGTCGTCCACTTACTTCTATCTCATACTGAAAACCGACCGGAGCAGGAGATCCGTAAGCTCCGATCGGAATCGGACAGTTGAATTTCTTCGATTGATGAATTGAGCAATTTTATTTCGATTTGAAGTGATAATGCTCCCGTATTTTGATTCGATCTATTGATTGAACTGAGTTTCTCAGTTCCAAAACAATTTTGATGTTTTAATCGGTTTAATCGTTTGGATTTGGATGTTCTAATCGGTTTAATCGTTTGAATTTTGAATTCGATTGCTTAGTTGACGGCGATTATTGCTTTTTAATTGTCTGTTCATCTCCTTCATGTAGCTTGGTAGGTTGCAATGGCGAAGGATAATTCTGCATCCGATGGCCGTGATGCCGCCAGCTCGACGTCGCGATCCGTTGCCGCCGCTGAGATTTCCTTCTCCGGCGGATCCTCATCGCCGAGCTACGGCTGCAATCCATTTCTGTCGCCGTCGTACGACTCAGCCGACTACGCAAGGAAGGATTTCTCCTCAATCTTCGATCGCGATTCTCGATCTCCATCTGAGACCTCCATCAACAAAGCTGAAGCAATTCCGATTGAACGCCGGCTTTTCCAGGCCAATTTCGTCTTGGAGTACCAGCAGCTGTACAATCGCTACGCTCTCTGTCTCTCTAACCTCCACGAATCTCTGGAGGAGGTCAATTCGCTCCGTCGGGAGAACGAGGCTCTTCATCTGGCCAACGTGGATTTGGTCAACCGCCTGAGTCTCCTCTCTCAGGCGGCGATCCGGAATTGCCTCCTCTCCGATTTCAGTCACCTCGGTATCGGTGCTCCGGCCGTTCCTGTCCGCAGCGGCGCTCTCGTCGTGGAACCAAAACCTCCAAACGTCAGGCCGCCGCTGAGAGCCACAGAGCAACACCGGCTAGAGCGAAGCGATCAAGAGCTAGAGCAAGTCCCGCTTCCAAAGAGCATTTCTGTTCGCTCCCGTGGCTACCAGAAACTTAAGCCGTCGCAGGATGGATCTGCCGCCGCCGGCCAGAGTAGCCGCCGTGTCAACACTAAGCCCCTTGGCGAATCTGTGAGTTTAATTAATTAAATTAAATCAAAACATGCTTTCCATTAAATTTTAGTTAACGAATCTCAAATCTCAAATCTGCTTTGGATTATCCCTGATTTCCTGGCTATGTTCATCTGATCTCTCTTGATCGAGCAGCAGCAGCAGCAGCAGACGGTGTACATTCCGGGGGCAAAACTGGAAGATGGATCCATGGAGTTTGAGGTGTACAACCAGGGAATGATGAAGACAGAGCTCTGCAACAAATGGCAGGAAACCGGCGAGTGTCCCTACGGCGAGAACTGCCAGTTCGCGCACGGCGTCACAGAGCTGAGGCCGGTGATCAGGCATCCCCGCTACAAAACAGAGGTCTGCCGCATGGTTATGGCCGGCGACAACTGTCCTTACGGCCACCGCTGCCATTTCCGTCACTCCTTCGCCGAGCAGGACCGGCAGCTCCCCTCAACTCTGCATATCCGTTGACTGAAGATCCTGGGAGAGTTTTATTCCTATAATAATAGTAATAATCATAACAATAAATAAATAAATAAATGGCGAGCCTTGTGGGAATGATAATGGAAGCCTGGAAGTACTATGGGGGGATTGAACATTGAACCATTAACAAAGCAAAACCGCCTTTTGGCTGTAATGGTTCATCCTTACATTTTGATTCTCCATTTTGGATCTCACTTTTACCAATAATCATCATGTCTTTCTATGTTAGACAGGTGGCCCCGGCCCACACATATTAGTCACCTATTTTCGCGCCTCAGATATGATTCGCAAATACGGAGTATAAATTTGGGTCAAATATTTGGTCAATTGAACTCAATCCGCCTAACAACCCTTTTAAAAAATCGTTTATGTTAATACTACTCCGTCCGTCCGTGAGTATTTTGTTCATTTTAAACTTTTTCGGTCAACTATTGGTAATCTTTAATTTATAATTAAATAAAATATATATTGTATATTAATTAGATAAATTAATATTTTTAAAATATTTGATATAAAAAATCTAACTAAAGTATTTTTATATCAATATCTAATTTTGTTTTTATTTAATTTGAGACCAAAGTTTATCAATTTTGACAAAAAAAGTCAAAAGTGGACAAATACTCAGGGATGGATGGGAATATGATATTATTAGAATAATATACGAATATTGCCTTTTTTTATTGTTCCTATTTTTTTTTGTATGGAGTAATAGTGTTGTATATATCTAAAAATTAATTAATATTCAAAAAAAACATGACGTTTTATTATTTTTAAATACAAAATAATTTGCTAGTACGAATTTTTCATATTTTAATAAGAATAAAGCTCAAAATTTGGTCAATCTAAAAGAGGGTGTTTGTTAGTGCTTATAAAAATGATTTTTAAGTTCTACTTTGAATGGAATCAGTGTGGAATGTTTGCAACACTATGATTCTTGATTTTTTAGAGAGGAAAAATAGAAACCAAAAAGCTATTTTGAGTTGCTTTTAGATTGTGCGGTTAAAATAATCACTTTCTCTAAAAATTGAGCAATCCCAAACACCATCTCAATGATAGATTATAACTAATGAGAGTGTATTCAATTCAGATTTTATAAGATTTTAATAACTTGTTTAGAATACATGAATTGTGTAAAATTCGTGAATTGTTTTAAGTTAACGTAGATTTATTAGTAAGATTTTATAAGATTTTGTGAATTTATTAGTAAGATTTTGTAAGATTATAATCCATGAATTATTTATGCATATATTTGAATTACTTGAAAAATTTATATATTGCTCTATAAAATCAAATACTCTCTATTACTTATTGGATCTAATCATAGTTGATCCAAATAAAATTCTATCATAGTAATAATAATAATAATGTATTTTCAATAATTATTTGGTAAAATAAAATAAATACGTCACTACTTATATATATATATATATATATATATATATATATATATATATATATATATATATATATATATATTCTCGCAATTAATACAAATCAGGGACCCAATTTAAATTTGATCAACGGTCCAATTTTAATCGTGAGGAACTGCCACAGTCACAAACCAGCCTTCCAATTAGAATTTGATAAACTTCCAACTTTAATCCACATGAACCGCCACAATTTAAAAATCATAATTACAGAATATTGAATATACCATATTATTAAAATTTGATGTAAAGACTAAAATTCAATATAGAGTATACTTTAATTTATTTAATACTTTAATATGTATATTTATAATATATACGGAGTATAAATTATAGGAATGAGAGTGGTCTGATCTACTTGTTCCCAATTACTCCTCCGTCCCTGAGTGTTTGTCCAATTTCATTTTTGCACACCATCCAATGCACTTCTTTAATCTATTTTATGTTGGGGAAATTAATGATAACTTGGATGAATCTAGAGTTGTGTAAACACTTTCAGATTGAATATTTTGGTTGTTCACTCCAAAATTCAATCGGATAAAACTCGAAAGTATCAAGAACGAAATATGAGAATTGCTGTGTCTCAAACCGAACGAAATTCGACCATGCCCAGGGGAATTTTATAGACTAGGGGTGAGAAGGAGAAGACACCATTCGCGGCTATTACCCAAAGCACGCAACTCTTTGCGCGGAAGTTTCTTCTTCAAAATTCGGTCCTATCCATCGAATTTTCTTTTAAAGAAAATTCGAAATTAAAATTCTAATTGAATTTTTTTAACATAGCATCTCGACCCCAGCCAGGGGCTCTGCCCCTTGGACCCCGCAGGGGCTGCCGCCCCTTGAACCCTGCTCGGGGACGCTGCCCCCTTGGAACCCCCGGTGTAACGGGTTTTATATCGTAACAAACTCAATGAAGCGTGCACTCCGCACCTCCAAACTTTTTTTGATGATTATTAGAATACCATTGGTCGTAGTTTTTCCAATTACACTAAAATATATAACATTTTATCTTGTAATTTGTATATTAAAAAATTATAAAAATTATAATATGTTTTGAGAAATTCAACCCACGTGCATCGAATCTCTTAGTTGTTCAAGGAACATTATTCTTTAGTAGATTATTGAAAATCTGTTCTTAAAAGTATAGATCTCTGATTTCATATTTGATTGTAAAAAAATATTATATTTAATCGATTATACTCTTTGTAATCCGATGATCTTTATAAAGTAATTAATATTTTTCTAGTCATTAATAATTTCGATGTGAAATTATTAATTTTAAAAAAAGTGTATGTTTATTTTTAGTCTCATTCATAGATGTATTATTTTATTTATTTACCTATTGCTAGATTCAGGTCCTTCGATAATATTTATGTAAAAACGATCCTTTTGTATAGAAAATTTGAATGAATTTCCCAGTAGTTCTTGTTATTCTGAACTTATGTGAAACTTGTCTTCATTTCAAAGTTCAATTAGATATATACCTTATTAGATTAAACTATTAACTCTTTTTAGTTCAAAAAATAATAATAATCTCATAACAGGGAGTATACATTAATGTTTAGATAAAGTCATTGAACCTTATTGACCATGTTTAGTAAGAAATGTTGAACATGATAAAGGTTTAATTGCACATTAACAGTTTCATTATGGCAGGAAATAAAAATTAGACAAAAAGGCTGGTGTGTCATTTAAACAGGTAATAAAAATATGTTTATTTAAATACACACACCCACACACACACACAGATATATATATATATATATATATATATACACACACACACACACACACACACACACAGACACGCATACATACACACACACACACACACATAGCCTCCTACATACATAATCATTAAAGATATATATTTGTATATATAAATTTTTTTTAAACATAAATGTATTCATTTATTCAAATTAGTACAACGATTTGGATATAATGTTTTTTTCATTGTATTAACTTTTTTCTAATTTATAACCTGGTATTTATTATTTAATTTTATTTAATCTTCAAATACTAAATGAAATATTTAAAATAATTTATATTCTTATAACATTGAATAAGTTCGAAAATGTATAAATAAAGGAAGTAAATCTCGAAATCCATAAACACCATTTTCCACAATTTATGTTTCAAAACGCTTTTTTCCGGTTGATACACATACACACACACACATATCCTCCTACATACACAACCATTAAAGATATATTTGTTTTTCCTTATGTTTCAAAACGCTTTTTTCCGGTTTTTTTATATGAGCGTGAATTCCTGTGCCCTGTATAAAAGAATAAGAGTTTAGATTAGAAACATTAATAAATAAATAATGATTAAGCATTAAAAAAATAGAATATCATACATGTTCATTGTGAAAAATGATCTCCATTGAATCTCTGCCTTTGGTCCATACAAGAACAAAATAGACACGCACGGCCCGTAACTTGAACTTCCAATTGGTTCGACTGTTGTCAAGCTCAACAATAGGAGACCACATGCATAATGAACAACTTTGAGACATTTGAGGATTTTTTAGGGTGTTAGAGAAGTTTTTTTGAATGAAGTTACCACCATTCTGCCCAAGTATATATAATGCATGCTGTATGATCTCTTTAACCAATTCATTAAATGGCTAGATATGAAAAAATCTTTATAATCAATGGATTTGACACAAAGTAACATTTTCCCAATCCTACTTTATGGAGCCACTCAAATTTATTTTTATCCAATGTAACTTTATGGAGCCACTCAATATGAATCATCTTATTGTAACTTTATGGAGCACTCAAAATTTGTTTTTTTTCCAATGTAACTTTATGGAGCCACTCAATATGAATAGACATAAAGCAAATTGATTGAGCCCATCAGTACGAATTGGCCCAAACCCGTGTGATTCATTGCCAGGCCCAAACCCAAACCACTAAGCCTTTATTTTTAGGCGGGAATACTGTTCACAAAATTCACCTAGCATTGTATATAGTAGGATGATAATTTAATAAATATAAAACGCATTCAACTTGTAAAAAAGACAAACCACAACCAAACACTTAGCATCCAAAGAATTGCATACACACACACACACACACACACACACACACACACACACACACACATATATATCCCCTTATATTATAAGAGCAGTGGCAGCGGGCGATGCAAATGCCTGCCACGCTTGCCACATCAGCTCCCAAATTTTTTTTGCCATGCTTAGCATGGAGAAAACGATCATTCCCCCACGGTGAGCAAGTCAATTGCAAGGCATCCCACCCATTCCCACGCCTCTTTTTCTTTTTTTTCTTTTTTTATTTTTTTTTTGATAAAATTTTTTTTTGTAATGAAGTAGAAGTATTTTTTAATGAGAGAAATAACAAAAATTATTTTTAATAATTAAAATACATTACAAAAATTTTAAAAAGTGATAAAAGTAACGACTTGCCACTGTAGGGTGCGCCACTCCACTCACTTGCCACTCTCTGACTGGATCATTTTTTATTGGTTAATTTTTGCCATGTCAGCGTGTGGCATTCTTTTTTTTCCTTGCCATTGTTCATGCACTAAGAGCCAACACAGTTTCCCTCCGTTAAATTAGCTCTTTTTCCATCTCTTTTTCGGTCCCTTTACCCACATCACCACTTGCCCACCGTCACCGCCTTTCTGGATTTCCGCTCGCCCATTTACACTGTTCACCGTTTCTTTCTCCGTCTGTCTCTGACTACTCCCCATGAACGAGGAATGCTACTCGCCAGTCGCCGCCCACCGCCCCAGGATGTCTCCTTTCTCTCTTTCACTCTAGGGTTTCCTTCACTTTGGGGTTTCTTTTCTCTATTTCGCTCTGTTTTTCTCTCTTTCACTCTGGTCTATCCATACGGATCTCATCACCATTCAGCAGGTATTTCACTCTTTCTTCATACATCTTAATATCCTCATACCTGAAACTGTTCAAAAACAAAGGTAGGAAATTGAATTAGCAAAAGTAGGAAATTTGAATCTTTTTCCTTTTCACATGATTTTGGGTAATGTGATTACTGAAGCTCTGCATAAAGTTTGTTCAATTTTGATTTGGAAAAACCTGGGCATTCTTGAATTTATTCTCATCTGGAATTTTGGTTGCAGAAAACATATAAAAGATTGCATATGTTCTTTGGTTATGTGATTGCATATATAACATATGGTTGGTAATTGGTGTGTTAGCTCAAACCAGAATGGTTTTTTTCTGCTCAATTGTGCACCTCAATTCTGGACATGCCACTTACAATTGTGCACCTCAAATCTGGACATGCCATTCTCCAAGAAAGCACATGCACTTTTTACATGAGCTATGTAGTAAGTATCTAAAAAACTCATAAAAATTGAAATTCACCAAAAAAATGAAAAGGGAATACCACTTTTTTCCTTAAAAAGAGATAGAGGAGATGAGGAAAGGAAGAACCTGCAATGGTCCTTGGCTGGGTAGATCCCACCAGGAGGAATGGGTCTGAATTTGTGCCTCCAATCTTCTCAGGGCTTCAATAGCTTTGAGCTGGAGTTAATGACTGATAGATAATAATTTTCCACAAAATTTGTTTATCTAATACATAAACCAGAGCTGTTAAACATTTAAAATTTTGACTTTTATTTTAATTTCCTTATACTATTCTCAACTCAGGTACCAATTTATACATCTATTTTGACTTCTCTAACACTATTTGCATACCTTATTCAAAAAAAGTTTCTGATGAACTCTGAAAATGTACTTTTAAGCCTATGGGATTCATAGGTGGAGGTGTTCTCTTACATAGTCTTCATGAATTGACATGCTCAGTGTGCATAGAAATTCATTTCCTTTTCCTTGGTTTGGATTCATAGGTAGGACTGTGCTTAAGATATATGGAATATCATGCACTATTACTCCAGTCTAGAGTTTAAAGTGCACAGATTTTAGTGAAAACTGTAGTCTTTCTTACTCCATATGATTAGATAGGAGGTAGAGTTAGTGTAAGCCCCTTCTTCCATATAAAAAATTTTAGAACAAGGTTTGCAAAAGAAACTGAAATTGTAGTTGATTTTCAAGAAACAACTCAATTTTTAGAAGCTTATTTTGAAACAGAATATGATTGTGAAGCTTATTTTTATGGAAGAACTGAAACTTTAAGGTGGTGGTGTCGAAACTCTAAGGGCAGACTTTCATGACAAATATGGTACTTCAAGGGCTTATTTTCAAAGAGATGTATGATTTTGAGGTTAATTTCCAAGACAAAACATAAGCTGTAGGGGGGTGATTTTTAAAAGAAATTTGCGTTTGCATTGATTTTCAGGGGAAAATTGAAATATTAGTGGCTGATTTTTGTAAAAAAATATGATCTTGAAGCTGGGAAAAACTGGACCATAACGAGCAGGTTTTGAAACAGATTATGAGTTTGAAGATGAGCTGATTAGACAATATAAAATGAAAACATACTCTCCTCGTACAAAAATGTTTTTCACATAAATTGAAGATATTGAAATTTAAGTATTAAACCTGAATAAACTAAAAGAAGTTGAGCAAAGTGGATTGAATTTAGGTAGTGAGGGAAAATATTTATATGTTCTTCGCATCAAGTTTTTAGCTTCTTTGAACATAGTTCAACTCATTCTGTTAGAACCTCCCGCGCCCGTCTGGGTTAGAGGGGAGCAACATCTTCTTCTCTTCGCGAGAACTTCTGGATCGGAGAAGCATTCGGAACGGGAACCCAAAAATGAAGTCTTTTGACTTGAGAATCAATGATATATATTTTTATAAAAAAAAGAAAGAATGAAGTGGTATTGGTATCTTAACGGCGTCCAGAGCTCTCTTGATCTATGTTGAGAGTACGCGAATTGGTGTCATTATTGGTATATTAGGATAACAGATGTACTTGGAACTGTCATTTCCAAACTACCCCGCAACTTTGTCTTCACATCGAAAGGACAACAAAAGACAAGTGACTTCATAATCATAGACCAAGAGTATGTTCTACTACTACTTCTATCAAGTCTTTAACTATTTCAAAATTACATACATTTTCCCAACCCAATCTTAATAATACGTACTATGCTTTTAACCTCACACATTTTAGTACCACATTCTGTAAACACAAGGTTTAAGGTCAGAGCTTATTCTGGAAATGATCTATTCTGTTCCTGCATATAATGTGTACTTTGTGTTATAGATTTTTAATTATGACTTTTATTTTTAGGTGTTCTCTTCTATACTTTTGATGATTTGAAGTGCTCAGTGTGCATACAGATTCATTTCCTTTTGCTTGGTTTGGCTTCATAAGTAGAAATGTGCTTAAGATATACTCCGTATGATATATCATGCACTAGCCAACCTTTGACAGACAAACTGCATTTTAGTTGATTTTTAAGACAGAAGTCCACTTTCAGAAGCTGATTTTGAAATATAATATGATTGTTAAGCTTTTTTTATCAGAAAACTGACACTTTTGGGCCTAATTTTGAAACTTTGTGGGGGTAGTTGACTTTTTCAAAAGCTAATTGTGCGTGTGATTCTCTACACTTTTGATTACCAACTTTGTGTGATTCTCTACACGTACCCTAATTGTGCGTCGGTGTGTGGGTACGATTCGTGTCTGATGCAGTCAGGTTTAGTCATCATAGGTAGAAGTGTGATTCTCTACACTTTTGATTACCAATTTTTATGCTTCAGAGAATTCGTTTATCTAATACATAAACCAGAGGCGTTATACATTTAGAATTTTGACTTTTATTTTGATTCTCAACTCAGGTACCAATTTATACATATATTTTGACATCTCTAACACTATTTGCATACCTTATTCAAAATAAGTTTCTGATGAACTCTGAAAATGGAGTTTTAGGCCTATGGGATTCATACGTGGAGGTGTTCTCTTCTATAGTCTTGACGAATTGACATGCTCAGTGTTCTTATAAATTCATTTCCTTTTCCTTTCTTTGGATTCATAGGTAGAAGTGTGCTTAAGATATATGGAATATCATGCACTATTATTCCAATCTAGACTTTAAACACAACGTTTGAATTACACTTATTCACTATCTTACTCACTGCAAGGAAAGACTGATGGTTACCTTTTCAATTCTATTAGCGAAAACCAAAAAATGATTATGTGTCCAAGGCTGTGGTTGGAAGTTTAACAGCCTTTACTGGAATGTCAGATATCATTGAGAAACTTGGGTGTCATTTTACTTTTACTGCATAATGATTCTATACATCATAATGGCTGTCAAGGGTTGCCTAATACTTTCAATAACAAACTTTTAGTGCCTAATTCCTGCAAGTCACCCTTGAAGACACTTGAATGGACTACACCACTGGATACAATCTATTCTCTACATCTGAACAAGGCCCTTCAATCATTCACGGTCATTCCTGCCATCAAACCAACATCAAGCACTTTTGACACACAAACATTAAACATGTACTCGCTGCTAAGCCTCTACAGCCTCTCTCAAAAGAAAACAAGAACAATATCTTTAAAGAGAAAGCTGGAGTTTGAAGAAGACATCCACAAAAAAAAGGCTTAGGCTATGTTTCTACAACTACGAATCTTTTTTGAATTAAATGTGTATTCCTACCGTACTTGTAAAATATATGTATCCCAACGAAGTAGGAATCCATATGTAAATTTGGTACATATTACAAATGAAGTGCAAGTTATCACTTCAAAGTTTGTAAAACAATCCCTATGTTAGAAGTCATAGGTTTGCCACATGCCATGGATGAAGTGTAGGTGATCACTTCAAATTTTGTAAACCAATCCCTATCATTTTGGTGAAATAACGTGCCTGTGATATAGCAAATATTTGTACTACATTACACAAATTGTTTGGGCACTCTCACACAAAGTATGTACCCAGGCTAGTGTGTGTGTGTGTGTGTGTGTGTGTGTGTGTGTGTATAGCTAGCCTATATATAGATAGGCTTGCTATATATCAACCCAAAGTTTAGGAAGAGAGGTGCATCAGGACGGAGACAGTCTTCTTATTAGCAAGCATTGGCCCATAAACAAGGTAACTCCTGTAAATACTCCCTCCGTCCCAAAAAGAATGGGACGGTTTGACTCTTTGGAAAATTAAGGGAGAGATATTTTGGTATTGACTTTCCAAAAATACCCTTGATGTGATGGGTAGATTATTAGGAAAAAGGTATGATGTAATAGGTAGGGTATGAAAAAGTAAGGGGTAAAAGTAGTTTTTTAATAGAAATGTAACGGACTTTACGGGACGCAGTTTTTGCTAAACGTAACAAACTTTTTGGGACAGAGGGAGTATATTTTACTTTTTTAAATTTTGGAAAAACATACTCCTTCCATCCCAATTTAAATCGTCTGTTTTAACTTTTGGCATATTTAAGGAAAATAAAAAATAGAGTTAATTTTTCAAAATTGACATTACTTTTTAGGAGGGATGATGATGAATGAGAAGATAAAGTGAAGAAGATTGACTTACTTTAGGGGTAGTTTAGGCATTTTATTTTTAAAAGTTTACAAAAACAACTATCAGACAACTTATTTTGGGACGGAAAAAAAAGGCAAACAGACAATTTAAAATGGGACAGAGGGAGTATATCATAACATACACCAAAGCTTGGAACTTCACACAAAATACTCCTAAAAAAAAGAAGAATGTTAGAGTCACAAACTTACCATTTGTGTTTTTAAAATTTTATTTCTAAATTACTTAAATTATCTTATTCACTTGGGAAAAGTGCAAAAATAGATATTTGTATACTTTGTGTCCAAGTTTTTTGTGACACTAGCATACTCAACGCCATATACTAGTGCACAATAATACTTTAAAGAGATAAACACTATTTTAAAAAATGATCCAAAATAATGGAGTTTATCCTTCGTTATGTTTATATACTAATTTGGATCCCTTCACCAATAGTCAGTCCAATACCACGTGTATACCCCCTCAACAATCAACCACATTTCCAAAGCATTTCTTACACTAGTTACGACATGAGTAATCCCCCTTTTTTCTCTTTTGGTATGTCCTTTATGAATCTCCTCTAACTTAGGGTCCATTTGGTTGTAGATAATATTTTCCTAGAAATTATTATCTAAAGAAAAGTCATTTCTAAGGAAAATTATTTTTCCCAAGGCTTTCCATTGTTTTGTGGTTGGGAGGTAGCAGTGGTTTGTGGGGGTGAGGGAGAAGCGGGGCGGGGCGAGATGGACGCAGGGGTAGGGGCTGGTGTTAGGGGTAGGGTTGGGGAGGGGGGAGTTCTTAGCTTTGGATGTGAAACTAGGGGACTCAAGAGAGTGGGAAAATAAACTTCCCTCCAAAGCAACGGAAGTCATTTCCTTTGAGAGAACGTTTTTTCTCATATATATTTTCTAGGAAAATATTTTCCCCCAACCAAACGGACCCTAATTTGTAAACAACTATCCACCACACTCTTTAGAACTCTATAATTTTATGTGAAGTCAAAAAGGGAGGATAAAAATACAAAGGAATACTCTGCAATTTGGACCGTCTAACAATACGACACATGTATAAAGATGCTCCAAAGATGCAGCCGATTCAGTGAGGTGAAAAAAACAAAACAACCAAAATAACAAACATAACAAAAGGATGAACTTCTTTTGTCAGAACTATTAATGACATTGGTAGTCTCTTGGGGACTACTTTCTCTGTCCGGATTTTAAGTTCCCGATTTGACTTTTGCTCATTTTTAATGGAAGTTGACTATGAGTGTAATTTGTCTAAACTGCCCTCCTTCACCCTCTCCTTTACCAGCCCTGCCATCACACAGCTCCAAGAACAACGGTAGCCTCTCCTTGCCGCCATCCCTGCCATCACACAGCTCCAAGAACAACGGTAGCCTCTCCTTGCCGCCAACCCCACCATTGTCCCTAGACCCATCACTGCTCTTTTTTCCGACCATCCTTTCACCATATCCTCCGCAGCCCCACCATCAAATCTAAAATAAAGAGTGATGAGAAAGAAATCGGAAATAGAGAAGAAGAGGAGTGCAGATCCATACATACCATTAACGCACCCTCACCATCGTCGTCACCCCAACACCGCCTGCCAGCCCCGCCTTTGCCCGCAGCACCACCATCTCCGCCACTGTGACGGAGGCAGATCTAAAAGAAAAAAGGAGGAGATGGAAAAGAAGAAGAAAAAAAGAGGAAGAAGGGGAGATCTCAGATCTAGACTCACAATCGTCACCGCCGCCACTATCGCCACCCCTACCATCACCGCCATGCTCAGATCGAGAATAAAAATGGAAGAGAAATTAAAGGGGGAGATAAAGAAGAACAAAGATGAATGGGAGAAAAAAGAGAGGAGGAGATGGACGGAGGAACACAGAGACGAGAAGAAAGAAAGAAGAAAAAGAAGAAAATGAGGAGAAGAGATAACAAGAATTGGGGAAATGGAGAAGAATGGGAGACATGGAGAAAAGAAAAAGGAAAGGATGGGTGGAAGAGATTTTGAGAAGAAGAAGAAGAAGACAAAGGAAGAAAAGGAGAAAGAAGTGGGGGAGTGGAAGACAGGTACAGTCCGAGAAAAAAAGAAAGAAATTTAGGGATTGGAAATTGAAAATGAAGGGAGAAAGAGAAAAGGAAGAAGAAAGGAGAGAAGGGTATTTTAGGAAGAATAGGTATTAAAACGTATAATGGGAACTTCTTTTCCGGACGGAGAAAAGAGTAGAATGGGAACTTTAATTTCGGACACAGGGAGTATTCTTTTGTCATATCTTTTTAAGACGGTCCAAACTTGGGATAGTGTTCTACTTTGTATTGTTTACCCTGAGCACATAATGTTGCATAGTGTTCTACTCCGAATATTTTTGTATTTGGACTACTTTTTGCACAACTTTATTACATTTAAAGAATAAATTACCTCGTCTTTGTCTAAATCACTCCAGCCATTGCGATGATCGGGTTGTTTTCGCTTGGTGCTTGAAAAGGCCAAATAAAAAGAGTTAGCAGCAAGATAAGATGATCCCCATAAGTTCAGTAGCAGCACAACAATGACTCCACGAGGCACAAAAAACCATTACCTCATTTTTTTTCCTACCAAAGACAAACAAAGGTAACAAACAATTGCACCTGTACCTTCTTTTTATTTTTTAAAACAAAACGCTAGTATAATGCCAACTCAATGAGATCTTGAGGGTCAAGAAGTGTGCAAGCCTTTATTTCATTTAATGCTTGGCACCTCATAAAATGTAGAAAGTAAAGGAAACACTACGTGCCACTTTAATTTAGCCCATCAGTTTATTTTCAAATGAAAATAATAAAACGAGTGTCAAGACTCAAGATCTACAAACCATGCGAAATGATGTATTGGTGTCCATCAAATGAAACAAATTGTTGTCCATCATATTCCCTTGAATGAAACAAGTGATACTTCACCTTTATTGACTGTTAAGACCAACAATTGAGGTCTAAAGTCGACTTTGGAATGATTGAATACATCAAATTTATTGCTTTTAGTATTTCTTTTACTCCGTGTTATTCTATGACCGAAGTCATATTAGACTTCCTTATTCAGTTGCACATACGTTACGGAGTACAATTAAAGAATAAATTACCTTTTCTTTGTTTGATTCACTACACCCATCCGGCAATCCTGCAACAAGAATAAAAAAACATCTGAAACCATAATACACTGTGCAAATCATAGTTTGTAAGGCGGCAAGGCGAGGCAAGGTGCCAATGTACCTTCATATCGCCTAAGCGACTAGGCGCACCCCTAGGCGACATATATATATATATATATATATATATATATATATATATATATATATATATATATATAGGTATATATATAGGTATGTATGTCGCCTAGTCGTCGCCTAGGCGTGTGTGTATATATATATATATACATACACACACACACACACACATACATACATGTGTGTGTGTGTATATGTGTGTGTGTATACATTTTTTTATTTATTTATATATGTATATATAGGTCTTATACATTTTAAGGAAGCTTGACAGATAAGACCGAGAGAGAAGATAAGTTAAAGTCTATTAGGCTACACTAAAAGAAAATGGGCTGCACTAAATAAATTTTTCAAAATTTTAAAGGGGCCCAAGGCATCAAGGCAAGGTAAGGCGACGCCTAGGTAAGCGCGTGGTCTCCTTAAGGTTTTCTACGCGAGGCGAGCAGACAAGGCGTCCCAGTGACAGCACCGTATTGCCTAAGCGACGCCTTACAAACTATGGTGCAAATACAACCCAGTTTGATCGGACAAGAGTAGTGTCGGGGGAGGGTGTGTCTATTGAGACGTTGCCCCTACTCTAAAGGCACTGTGGCGTGGTCCGACACACACACACGCACATGCACACACACAACACATATGTGTGTGTGGGTGTGTGTGCATTTGCCATTTGACCGCCCGCCCCTCGCCACGCCTCTCACCATAAAAAAGATCCTCTCGCCCGCCCCTCGCGAGTCCACCATTAACAACTATGCATAAAAGCAAGCATACAAGGCATACAAAGCACAGAACAAAAAGTACAAAAAAAACTTCCATTAGCACAAAGGGCCTACCCAACTACTCCAATCTTAGTTCTCCAAACACGTATCTAAGGCCATATCTTCAAAATTGGGATTCTATAGCTTGCATTTTTTCCAAGATTATTGTCATTGCTGTCTCTATGAAGATTTGCTTCTTAGTCAAAATATAGTCAGAACAAGAGACCCGACAGCTTCATTTACCTTGTCTTCGTCGAAATCACTCCCCTCATTGAGCTGATCAGGTTGTTTTCCCTTGACACTTCAAAAGGCAAACATATAAGATTAGCAACAAGAGGAGATCCTCGCAGGTGCAGTAACAGCCCTACAAGCCATTGCCCCAATTTTTTCTATCTAAAACAAACAGGTAACAAACAAGTGCTTCTATACCTTCAATGTATTTTTAAATAATAAATACAAAACAACAAAAAATACACTAGTATAATCCCAACTCAATGAGCTCATGAGAGTCACAAAGTATGCAACCCTGATTTTCACTTAATTCTCGAAACTTCAAAAAATGTAGTTTGTAAACAAAATGCTTTTAGAAGAAAATAATGAAATAAATGTCAAGACTCTAGACTAACCAGCCCTGCAAAATTTTATAGTGTTATTACTCATCAAATCTCAAAGGGAAAAAAGTTCAATTTCACTTACGCTGAATGTTGAGTACAACAATTCAGGTCTAAATTAAATGTAGAATGAATGAATGCATCAAATCAAACTCATTGATTTTTATTGATATTTTTCCCCAAGTTTTTATGACTAAACTCATGCTAGACTTGCTTGTGTCGGTTGATAAGTATTTTAATTAAACAATGAACTACCTTGTCTTTGTCTGATTCACTCCACCCATCCTGCAATCCTGCATCAACAAAAAAACAAAATCATCAATATCAAAGCCAATACATTGTGCATTGAATCATGATTCGTTATCTTCCATTTTTCCTAGATTATTAGTATCGCTTTGTCATCAAAACATAGACAGACCAAGAGAGCTGACCAAATGGACCAATTGAGAAAGAGAACATCTGGGTACTGAAAGGTGTAACATTTGTAAATATAGTTTGTTGAATTTTGGAAAAATGTACAAAAATACTCCAAAGTTTGAACCTTCTAACAAAAATACTCCAAAAAAAAACATTGAAAAATAATACTCCAAAGAGATGATTTGTGTCAGAAAATGCTCCTAAAACAATGGTAGTTTATCATCTATTATGTCCATACTGATACTGGTCTGGCTAATTCGTCAGCATTTTTTACACTAGGACGTGAATTATCTATGCTTCTCTTTTTGGATGTCCATTGTGAATCTCCCATTTTCAATTAATTCCTAAATCAAAGATCTAAATCAAAGAGGGAAAAGAAATGATACAAATGAATGCTCCGCAATTTGGAGCGTCTTACAATTACACTCATAAGCTCACATGTATGATTAAAGGAAGCTGACGCCAAATCAGTGAGGTGGCATAAACAAAAGAGCCAAATTGGCATAGGCATATAATGAAGGGATGAACTTTGCTATCTTTGAAGCTTATTTGCAGCATCGGTTATCTCTTGGGAGTATCCTTGTGTAGTAGTTATTCTGGAAGAAAAAGTTTGTAAGATGGTCCAAACATGGGAGTATTCGTGTACATTTTCAACTAGTTTTTATTAATAGCATCATTTTTCTTCAGTGAACAGTGTTATAATTTTATGTATAAACACATGTAGGACTTTTTTTACAACAAATTTATTACAATTAAACAATGAACAACCTTGTCTTCGTCTGAATCATTCCCCCCATCATGAAATCCTGCATCAACAATTAACAAATTAATGACAAAATCATCAACAGGAAACCCAATACATTGTGTAATGAATCGAGACTCTATTTTCCATTTTTCCAAGATTAATGTTATTGCTTTGTCGTCAATAGAAGAGGACCGAAGACGGACCTATTATCTATCGGTTTAAGACAGATCCGGGCCTAAATTACTTGGACCGAACCGATTACAACCCAGAAGACAGAATTGAAATGCAGTCCGGGTTTGGTTTGGACCTATCGGTCCAATTCGATAGGTTTTTTCAGTATGGACCCAAACATAAACAGCTTTAAATATACCATTTCAGAAAGACTTTTACATGAAGGTTCCCCTAGTTACCCTTCAACATCAAACTACATTGTACAGCAACTTTCAAGATATTCATATATATTATTGGTCATAACCATCATTAAATGCTACAAATAGATTAAAAACTTCGCTAACTTGGTTTTCATGTTTGACACATCACAAACTGAGCCTACTTCTAAAAGTTATCATAAATAAGATTCCTGCCATACCACTTTAGCTAAATGTTGCATACCATTTGTTTTACACCATATGGAAATTTATGGGGCAGTATGATTTGTGTAATAAAAAAATGATTCACAAAGGAGAATAAAAAAAAGTGTTTCGCCATTAAATAATCAAATGTGGAACTGTAGCACTTGAGAGAACAGGCACACTGCTTAGCTTTGGTACATATTCTTATAAACCAAAAACTGAAATAATCGGATCTCAAAAGCAAGGTATAACAAAAAAGTACAATTACTTACCATCACTCCAAGTCAACTTGATGTCAAGTATATGATCATTTTTCGTTGTTTGAAAGGAGCTAATTCCAACCTTGAACGCTTCGGTGCACGAGAGATGATAATGTGAGCCACAAAAATTTACTTCAACAATGAGGGACAAATCCATTGGCACCGCAACTACACATCGAGAAAGTGGTACTCTCCCATTATCCTTTAATCGTACTGAATCCTTCTCAGTCCTTTTGAAAAGCACGCTCCGAAAATAATTTTTCTCGAACTCGGTTGGGTAATCAACGTTGCTATAATACGCAATTGCACTTCCATAGACTATGTCAGGCCCGAAATCATCACTTTTATTCTTGACAAAGATCTTGATCTTTGCTTGGAAAGCACTTGAGAAAATGGAGTAATGCAATGCACAAAACCCCTCTTCTCCTGGAAAAACAGAACATATTTGTTTGTCCAATTTAAGGTCACGGCTAGCAAAACCTCTAGTCTGAAATTTCCCACCAACATCTTTTAGATCGACCTTCAATTCAGGCCTGTTATATTCATCAACCCTCATAGGCACATCTCTCAATGGTAACACTTCCTGTGAATCTTCTATGTCCACACCATCATTACCTGTCCTCTTGAACAGGTACTGAGTATTATTACCAAAAGAGAACTCAACAGAGCCAAAAATTTTCAATGTTGACCCCATTTTTTTGCGGCCAATAAAGATTGAGTAGAATTCTGCGAAACGTGATGGTATCAGCTTAATCCTATTTGAAAAAAATAAATTATAAACCAATAAACACAGAAAAGTTGCTAAGGTAATACACCCTCCGCCTTTGAAAAATTCTCTCCTTGACTAATCCAAGTTTTAAGGTGGTCAAAAAAGTAATTTGAGAAGAGGAAAAAAGATGGAAATGTAAACAGAAAAGGTAGGATCATTATTTTAGGACGTTGGGAAATGGGAAGACAGAAGAATATTTAAAGACGGAGGGAGTATTAATGAAATTTCATAGAAGGAAGAACCACGAACCTAGGATTGCCATTGTTGGATAATGATGATTCATCATCAGACTGATGAGAAATGACAAAAGGTTAGATATGAAGTGGTGTGAAATAAAATATATCAAACTAATGCAATGCTCTCTTAAGTCTTAATATAACATGTTGCCTTTTAACGATACTTGGGTAGTGTTANTTTTGAGCATTAGCTAAAACATTGTTTAAATGGCTATTTTCCATTCGCAATGGGGAAAAATTATTCAAAAATAAAATTCATCATCTGTAATATTTGTATTACTCCTAAATTTATCTTTAGTGTATAGTGAATCAGTATTAGTGACTTAATCTCCTTTGGAGTTTGGACTTCATTTTGCATAGAGTAATTACTTTCAGAGAACCAACTACCTCATTTTCGTCCCAATCACTCCACATGCTTTGCCTATGTGAATACGATATCAATGTTGAATCCAGAGTAATCGCAAAATCACCCTCCACATCCACTGCATAATAACCTGCATATGGACTACTCTCGTTAAACAATTCTACTGTTGTCTTAATATGCTTGTTTTTGTTGAAGTCTATCAAGTCCAGCTCAACTTCAAGTGACGAATATGCAGGCAACCCCAACAATCTTCTTGACATACACAGTATATTGCCCACCTTTACTGGTTCAAAGCCATTCTGCTTCTCAAAAAGAATGCATGGCTCTGAGTTATAGTTTCCACAGGTGTTCTTACATCACGCAACAATTTTCCCAGCAAGATTAACAACTAGGCCCTTGTTTTTGCTATATAATTGAACATCCACCCCACAAAGGATAGCAAATGGCATTTTAATATAACTCAGGGTAGCGGAGCAAACTGTATCCTGGAATTCTTTTGATCTAAATTCTTCAACATCGCCGCATTCAGTTGTACCCCCCACCAAAAAAAATTCTTGAGCAAACGAACGGGCAAAATCCCCAATTTTGAGATAGAGATCAACTTCTATAGCTGTTTCGTACAATGTCATCCACAAATCATAATAGCCAGTAATCCCCTTTTGGAAAATATCAGACAGAAGAATTAAATTACCACCACTTGGGCTTATGTAGTCAGCATCATTGGCACTTCGTTTATAAACATCAAGCTGCACCTCTTCTCCACTAGTGATATTTTGATACTTAACCCGAATCGTACCATATACACGTAGGGGTCCATTCTCTGGAGATTTTGGCTGTACATGTACTGAATGCACATGAAGTAAAGGCGCAGCTTTAACATCTTCTCTGCCTTTTTGCTTTTCGGTTTCTCGTGAGATACTGATATCATGAGCACAGCTATCCATGAAACTGAGAACATCAGCGGTTTCGTATAACCTCGACGGATCTGGGCCATGAGTGATGAATAGCTTCTTCATATCTCGTTCTGTAACATGGCGGTGACGGTTTAGAAGCTCATTGACATCGTCTTGCAAACCATAAGGGTAACGTTCCATGAAGAAATCTAAAATGCAAAGAAAGATTCGCTGCAGAATATTATGCTGAAATATGAGGTAAGAGATCTAAAGCAAGAGTTCAATAACTTCAATTCAAGGTTTTTGTTTTAAAGGAAAAAAGAACTACAGATCAATACACTAAATTTTATTTTTCAAACATCAATAAAGTTTAAAAAATATTTTTTAGAACTAGAGGAATATGTATTGGTATGTAAACAATGTCTTAAACTAGAGGAATATATATATAAATTGGTATGTAAATTTAAAAATAAAAGATTTTATACAAAATTAATGGTCATTGTATAAAAGACTGATGAAAATGCTTTGATTAATAAAAACAATAAAACAAAAAAGGACAAATTAAATAAAAGACTGATGAAAATGCTTTGATTAATAAAAACAATAAAACAAAAAAGGACAAATTAAATAAAGATACATCATTAGAGAATGTATATGTGACAAAATGTCACTTTGTCACCCTCCAATTAAACTAACGTTATTTAATAGCCTTTTATTACTTACCAAGTAAATATCACAATTACCTTATGTAATGACATAACATCTTTTGAAACGGAAATTTTAATTTTTTAAACAGATATTTTAATTTTTTATTTCTGAAACAGAATATTTTTCTTTTCAAACAAATTTCTATTCTAGTTTTATTTTTGAACATTTACGGTATAAATACCCTTTTATTCGCGTGAAATAAAAAATTGGGTTGAACATTTACGTAATAAAATATTATTGGAACGGAAATTAATAGCCTTTTATTACTTACCATGTAAATATCACAATTACCATATGTAATGCAGTAATGGCATAACATCTCTTGAAACGGAAATTTAAAAATTTTAAATGAAAATTTTAATTTTTTTTATTTCTGAAACAAATTTTTTTTCTTTCCAAACAAATTTCCATTCTATTTTTATTTTTAAACATTTACGGTATTAATACCATTTTATTGGGGGATAATAGCATGAGTGCCCCATGTGGTTTACAAAAGGAGTGCCAAAACCCCCTCTACTTTCAAAAGTTATTTGTAAAATCCCTGTGGTTTTTAAATAGTGCACAAACACCCCCTCTTGCCTATTTTACACATGAAATGACATTTCTGCCCTTGGTTTTTCTCTATCTTCAAATTTCACTCTTTTCTTTACATTTTTTGTCATACATATAAATAAAATAAAATATACGCCCTCTTTCTAAAATAAAATTTTTTATTTATTTAATTTTCAAAAATATAATTTTTTTTTTAAGAAAATATTACAAAAATGAAATAAAATATACTTTTTTATTATAAGTAAAAGTAAAATAAATAAAATAAAAATTGGATAACATATACTCACTCTATCTCTAATTAAAAATTCTAACTTATTTGTTGTTTAAAAATAAATAATTTTTTAAGGACTTTCAAAAAATGAAGAACAGAAAGATGAAATAAAATATGAAGTTAAAGAAAAAAAATATTTTTATATTGTTATTTCTTTTCATTACCTTTTTTAACTATTATTACTTTTTACTTTGTACATAATATTTTATTTTTCATTTTTTTGTAACATTCTCCAAAAAATCTTTTGTTTTCAAAAGTACATTATAAAAAATTCTAATTTGAGATGAGAAGCATATATTTTATTTTATATATTTGTATAATAAAGGTAATTGAAATTGGAAACTTCAAGATCGGGGAAAACAAAGGGCATAAATGTCATTTTTGCTTTAAAAATAGCTAAGGGGGGCATGTGTGCTCTATTTAGAAACCACAGGGACTTTACAAATAACTTTTGAAAACAGAGGAAGTTTTGACACCCTTTTTGTAAACCACAGGGGACACTCATGCTATTAACCCATTTTATTGGTGTAGCATAAATTATCAATTGAAGGCTTGAAGCCTAAGAATTTGGCAATATTCAGATTAATAAAAATTATCAATTGAAGCGGTATCATAAATTAAACTAAGGAAAAAATACATGATATATGGAAATAATAATTGAATCACCACAAATCATTATCTAATTGCAAAGGAATGGTGCATTAATCTGAGATGAGGAAAGGTCATGTTTTTTATGGCTAAGGAATGCTTACTTTTAAATATCATTTATATTTGATGTTTAAATAATACGTCTCATAAAAATCAAGTCATTTTAAAAATCCATAATTTATAAAAATTTCCTTCAAACCCGTGCATGGCACGAGTAGAAAAACTAGTTATACATACGTAAGTAATTAAATTTGGAGGAGTGCTTACTCAAAGTATGCATTTCATTTTTAAAATAAAAAACAAAATACATTTCATTAATAAAAAACAAAATACAATTTATTAAATAATAAAACAAATACATTTCATCTATACTATGCCTATCTATGTCTATCTATATACTATCTACTTCCTCCGTCCTAAAACTTTCTTCTCACTTCCTCTTTTTCTCCGTCCTAAAACTACCTTCTCATTAGAAAAAAAGATGACAAATGACATTAATACCCTCATATATTTACACCAATCATCTTCTAACTATATATTTTGAATGTGCAAAAAAATTTCAAAAAATCTTTTTTAAGGAAGGTAAAATTTGAAGTCAAAGCCAAAAATTAAAAATTGAGAAAAGTCAAACTGAGAAAAAAATTTTAGGACGGAGGGAGTATATACTATCTATATACTATATACTCCCTCCGTCCCATTTTAAATTGCATGTTTGCCTTTTTTCTCCGTCCCAAAATAAATTGTCAGTTAGTTGTTTTCGCAAACTTTTAAAAATAAAATATCTAAACTATCCCTAAAATATGTCACTCTTTTTCGCATTATCTTCTCATTCATCATCACCACTCTTAAAAAGTAATGTCAATTTCAAAAAATCAACTCTATTTTTTATTTTCCTTAAATATGCCCAAAAATCAAAACGGGCGATTTAAATTGGGACGGAGGGAGTATAATATACTTCTCCGTTCTCAAAAACACTTTCTATTTCATTTTTTCTACTTCCAACAAAACACTTCCCCTTTTATTAAAAAACTACTTTTATCCTTTTTTTCATAATCTATCTATCACATCATACTTTTTCTCTAATAATCTATCCATCACATCTTACTTTAATCTATCACATCAGGGGCAAAATTAGATTCAACTACTCCCTCCGTCCCTAAATATTTGTCACACTTGTATTCCCGAGGCAAAATATCAAGTTTTTTGAATTCATTTTATTTACATATTGGTATAGAAATAAAAAATAAAATTTACATATCAAAAAACTACATGAAAAGTTCTTCGAAATAAGAGGTATCAACAATATTTTATTTTATCAAATAACCAATGAAAACGTAGAAATAAACAAAAGTCCCCGCGACTCTTGAAAAAAGCAAATGTTGCAAATAATTTGGGACGAAGGGAGTATAATTTAACACTTTCTTATTTTTGCCCCCAAATCAAATAGGAAGGGTTTTCCAAAGGGAGGGAGTACATAAGCAAAAGAAATCTGATATAGAGAAAAGAAAAAAATATGTCCAGAGTTTTTTCGGCCTAAGGGGTTATGCAATAGCCACCATTGATGCGCAATAGTTGATTTATCAACGGCAATGGATTTATTAGAAATGCAGGAATTATTTATGCTATAGTCGTTAATTGGGAGCAGGCAATTAAATGATTAATCTCGGTATCTCACTTGAATATTTGACGGATTAAGCTATTTGTAACCCAATTTTTATATCTCACTTTGGACCCCGCAGCTTTGCACCAACACGGATTAAGCTATTAATCTCAGGCAATTAAAAGTGTTGTTTGTTTTTTCTGCAGAAAAAGGTCTGCAGTCTGCAGACCACATCTGCACACATCTGCAGGAGAAGAGGTGGACCAAAGGTCTGCAGTCTGCAAGAGGAAGACTGTTTGTTTTTTAACTTCTGCAGATTGTTTAAATAAACAAATATTTAAAACAATCAATATTTTTAAACATTCAAAATTAAATAAGAGTTCTACAACACTGAAATAACAACAATAGCATTTTTTAAAATAACAATAATAACAATATTTCAAATAATTTATTCCGCACTTTGCATTAACTGCTCGGTAATTTCATCTCGTAACTTGATCATATATTCACGATCCGCTGCAGTACCATGTACTTCAACCTCTTCTTCATCAACATCAACGTGCCCACGGCGATTTCCTAATGACACGTTCAGTTGATCATATTTTGCAAAGAAATCATCGCTCAATCCTTCTTTCCTTATAAAATTATGTAGCGCGAAACATGCAATGACAATGTTCCTTTGTGTAACCAACGGAAATGGTGTCATCCTCTTCAATATAGGGAATCGGGCTTTCAAAACACCAAAAGCACGCTCAATAACGTTTCGAAGTTTTGCATGTGTTGAGATCTAATTGTTGTTGTTTTTTTAACTTTGATTGCTCAAAAACACAAGTCTATATATATGTGTGTGTGTGTGTACAACAAAAACACACACCAAAGGCACTTCCCTGATCCAATGCCGATAATCACAAGTCTATATATATATATATATATATATATATATATATATATATATATATATATATATATATATATATATATATATGTACTAAGTGGAGTTTCTCCATGAACAAGAATTGTAGTATTGTACACAATCTCAAGAACAGTAGCTTGCTTTCATTTTTTAATTCCAAAACCCCAAATTCACATCTAACAATTCAAGAAACGAACAATAATCTAGTCAGAAAAATGGGCACGGAACATTATCTTTGATAGAACGATAAACAATTGAGCGGAATCGCACAAGATGGACATAGCTCAAGCCAGAGCGCGGAAAGCTGGCTTCCTTTCACGGTTCCGTAAACCGGCTCAGAAGATATAGGTCAAAGGGTTGACCGACGATATCCTGAAGGAAGCCGCGGAAAAAAACGGAAGGCTTTTCGGGGAGAGAGATCGCCAAACTGATGGAAAGTGTTCAGGCCGCTGTTTATGGCAGCGAGAGCTGCGTTTTGGACCCGTCTCTCTTCCGTGAAGTTGTGGATTACAAAGTTGCAGAGCATCAACGGAGGAAGAAATTAGCTGCTAGCTGCTGCTTCTGGAGATGGAAAGGGCGTTTGATTCCAATCAGATTGGGGTTTTGAATTTAGATATTTAATTGTTAATTTTTTTTACGCAGATGATTTAGGCATATATAGGTATCATTGTTCTATTGAAAAATCTTCGTTATTGGTTCTCAAAAATCAAAGTGGCCCTTTTTTTCTGGGAAATGCTTGATTCACAAACACAATGGTCACAAATTTCACAAATTTCACAAATTTACTCCCTCCGTCCCACTCTCTTTGTCCACTTACCTTTTGGCACACCATCCAATGTACTTCTTTAATCTATTTTATCTTGTAATTTGTATATTAAAAAATTATATATTAATAATCTACTCCGTATATGTTAAGACAAATCAAACAAGATCACACATGACTATATTTAGGCTTACACATTGACAGAATTTGATGAGTCAAAGTGCTTAGATGAACAGTTCCAAAAGTCAAAAGTGGACAAAGAGAGTGGGACGAAGGTAGTAAGATATGAAAAGAAAGTATTAGACTTCACTCTTACGGAGAAGCTATATTTTGGTCCGGAAAAAGTCTATCAATGTAATATACTCTCTCTGTTCCAAATTAAGACAACTGTTTTTGTTAATAGGATCAAACTTTATAAACTTTTTTCTTTCTTTCTTTTAATTATTAATTTGATAAAATGATCTAATCATTTTATCTCTTATTTTGTAGAGTCTTTTTCAATTAATTTTTAAATATGTAAAGTTTGTATTTTGATTCTAATTCGATTCTCAAATACGTAGTACATTGCATTGAAAATAAATCAATCAAACATCATAAACTAAAACAAACCAAAATAGACAGATTAAATTGAGACTTATGTCTGAGTAATATATATGGAATTTACTCATGTTTGATTGTCTTAAAGTAAAATATATATGGAATTTAGAATCTTTTGACCATCGAGTAGTCTACATAGCAATGAAATTTTCATTCAAGCACAATTCGAGATCATAAAAGACACATGGGTATAGTTCTTATTACAGCCACCAACAATACATTTCAAAGACAAGAGTGCAGTTTGATTGGACCATTAAAACTTGGAAAAAGAGGACAAATTGCCACTCAGCATCTTAATGATGATGGCCACCCCCACCACTGTGATCTTGGACGTAGCGTAAGCCGCAGTACTTGCAAACCGCTGGTTTGTCCAAATCAAGACATATATACTCAATTGGATGCCCAAGTGCAGGATTGCTATCTGCATTGGGGGGGATTCATTCATTTCAAAGTAAACATTAGCATGATGACACTAAGCAACCTGAGAATGTTGAGTAAAAGTGCACAGCAATAGCATAACTCAATATAATCTCAACTTTGTTAAACAAATAGCAAAACAAAATATAATAACCTCCCAATACGCAACATTATCCATGCTTCGAAAAAGAGATGTTTGTTCCCATTAGACCCTCGATGCATTGCTACATTGATTAAGTCCATAATTTTTACTCGAAGCTAACATGTATTTATAGATATGTTAACTCTTTTAGGACCCGTTTGGGAAGCGCATGAGATATGGGATCTCAATATCAAAATCCTTTTTTAGGTATTTGGTGAAGCCTAATAAGGGTTTGGAATTAATATCTCCTGTTATCACAACCCTTCTAAATGAAGGTGCTTTGGTATCTCCCAAATTTAGAAGATATCAATCCGGACATATTTCCTTCAACAGCCAACCACCCTTTGCATGTCACTAACAATCATCCTTTCACATCTATCCAAAGTCGAAACACTTTCATTTCAGATTTTATAACTCATATCATTTCTTCCATATTTCAGAACCCATGTCATATCAATTTTGCTTTGCTCACCATATGGGCCCTTAGCTGAGTTAGCTCTATTGGAACTCATGAGGGATTGCAATTTGCATTTATATACATAAACATACCTCCCTCACAGGCGGCGATCCTGCCCTCCACCTTTAATGGTGGAACTTCGTTGATCAGCTCCATAGGAGATTTTTTGCTGAAATCCTACGAATACATCGCCGAGAAAACCCCATAAATAAGATTCAATCACTTCACTTTACATGACAAATGACAACTAACACATGGCTATTCAGAGCAAATACGATACACCCCTATGCATACAAGGATGAAATAGAGATGCTGACTGTTTTGGATTGTTTGTGCACCTTCTGCATTCAGTCTATTTGTTGTTACACAATAACCTTAAGGCCCTTAAAAGCAAAAATGAGTTTATAACAAAAGGAACATATTAAAAAGAATAAAATCATTGAGATCATACAGCTAAAGCTCCGTAACAACAAACCTTTGCTGTTGAAATGGGTGAATAAAATACATGGATGAACTTAAAAGATATAACAACATGCAATGCATGTGTATTAGGTGATTGTTTTTTAATAAGATCTCAGCAAATACAATGTCATAATGTCATGACCAAACAAAACATATCTAGTACATCTCAGTCAAGAGTATGGTCAGAGGGCAAGATGAACACAAACCATACCTCTGCTCCAAGAACATTTTTCCAAGAGGAATTGAAGGAAAAAAACACCCACCCACACACATACACACAAGCATTTATGGCAATTGCACAAGGACTCTACAACCCTAACACTATCGACTAGAAGCCAAAAGCTCCTACCAGACTTCGTGGGTTGAGTAAAATTAACTGAGTTTAATCTTCAAACTTCTGGTTGAAAATGTGCAAAAAGCACGAGTCTGTGAGACCTAATATAGTAAGAAGGGGCTGAAGGGCTATTAACATTTATATTTGCCAGTCTCCTCAATCAATTATCCGCGAAGATCATAAGCCTTTTATAGGAATTGCATATGAATCGAAATTCCGTCCACATACAGAAAACAACAAAGATAAAAAATTTGATTAAATACTCCCGAATCCCTTAATCAAACAAGCAGCTGCTAAATTTCTCATTAGAGATTGCCTTCAAGATACGCCATGATATGAAACTTGATAGGAGGAATCGAATTGCTCACCTGCATCCATTTAGCAGTGTGCGACGAGATGATGTCGCCGCTAACGATGCCGGCAGCGGCGCCGTTGATGCTCCTCAAGCTTGAGGGGAAATTGGTGACACGAGATCTTGGAGTTAGGGTTTTCAACAGATTAGTCGCCATTGTTACGCCCCGTTTCCTCCCGAAAGACGCCATAGCTTAGAGTTGGATGGAAAGAAATTGCAGGAGTGAATTAACGACGAATAATTTGATCTAGACCAGAATATTTATGAGATTTATTTTAATAGCTGTGTTTTTTTATTATATCCAAATTTTTACATGTAATCTTTAAATTCACATTCGTTAACATTGGCATGGTTTAACAAATTTATATGAACGGAAGAGATAATAGTTTGCAACACACTTACACACTTTAAAATTAAATTTTAAATAAAAAAAATAAATATTTTTTTCCATCATAAAAAGAAGTTTTATTTGCAACTCTAGACATAATTTTTGTATATATTATTATTTCTTTTTGGTCTGATAATTTTCAATTAACAATTTCAATTTTTTAATCTCCACCACCTAGTTAATTGTATGAAATTACACATAGAATAGTATTTTGTATGTAATTGTTATTTGAGTAAATTTCATAATTGGTCCTTTATAACAGAGAAGTTTCCCTATTGAATCCTTAATTATCAAATATTACCCCAGCGGTCCTTCTTTTGTAAGTACATTTCCATAAATGGTCCTTTTTGATCTTCTGTCATGTTAGTGTTAATTTGAAGGATAAATATATAATTTGACATCAATATTATGTCTAGTGACGTGTTCTGATATTGGTTAAGCGGATAACACAAAAATAATGACTATGATTGTGGACTAGGATTTCAACGAAATACCACATTTGTACACTATGTTTGTAGTGGAAAGCGGCTGTAATTCACAAACGACGCAAACAGAATAACCTTTTGAATTGTGTATGACAAAAAAGATATATTATTATTGTTAAATTACACTTTTAGCCCTCAAATTAACACCAACGTGATAGAAGATCAAAAAAGGACTATATGTGGAAAGATACCTATAAAAGAAGGACTACTAGGGTAATATTTGATAATTGAGGACTAAATAGGGAAACCCCCTATCATAAAGGACTAATTATAGAATTTACTTTTGTTGTTTTTTCTAAATTTATCCTATATAAATAGTGTACTTTATTTAAATACGACTAAAACATAATAATTTTTTCAATATAAGATTATATGTTTTACCGGGAGGTTAGAAGAGGTAGGAATAGTCAATTTTACGAACGGGACAACGGAGCACCCCCGGGTCATCCATCTCTAACACAAGTACATTACAGTCACACCAATCCCATACGAATTAATTCCCATTCAGTGAAGGAACCACAAAAGCGTTCCCGATCAGTGCTGGTCCCAGAAGAAATAGATAAACGGAAGAGCTTGTACCGTTAAAGTAAAATAAATTAATTTTTTTATATTAACGGTACTCCTTGTACCGTAAAGACCAAAAAATTATAATGGATGGATAACCATCCATATTCTATCCGAAACCAAGCTCCCTCTCCCACTTTCGAAGAAGAAGAAGCAGGGACCAGGTCCATCATCTTCAAGCTCGGCGTCGTCGCCGTCGCAGGCAGTCTTACCGTCGCCGTTGCAGGCCGTCTTACCCGTCGCCGTCACACCCCGTCGGACGCCGTCCTACCCTCTCCGTCACCGCCAGGTTAACGGTACAAATTGTACCGTTTTTCTTAATTTTTCCCCCAAATTTTAATTTGAAGTAATAATTGGTGATTGACAATTTTATGATTTATATTTGTGATTAGATTTAGAATGAGAATATAGAAAATTGAAATATTAATAATTTAGAAAATTAAAAATTTAGATTAGATCTATGTTGAGAAATTTGATAATTTTATGTTTATGAGATATTCGAATCTTGTGTCAAATATTTGTGGATTTTTTTAGTGCACTACATACTTTTGATTTTTCGTATCAATAAAATAAAAATAATAATTTTGTAGAAAAATGAATTTTGAAAGAACGGAGGTCCACCCGGGACCAATTGTTCCCGATGTACTAGTTTTGGCACCCGACAAACATCGTTGTGATAAAGTGTGGCAAGACCGTGAGTTTGGAGACGTATCGGTGAAATGTGTAAAAAATTTTGGTAGCTTGAGGGAAGGATTTGGTGTAGAACGTCATCCACGAGTTGTGGATATATTGCGTGAATATGGATTTTACGAAGTTGAAAGAATTTCTAAGTTGCAAATAGATTGGGCTTTGATTACCGCCTTAGTGGAGAGGTGGAGACCGGAGACGCACACCTTTCATCTTCCCTTTGGAGAGGTTGGGATCAGATTACAGGATGTAGAGGTCCTACTTGTTCTCCCCGTAGATGGCACCCCGGTTGTTAGTTCGCGTGGCAACACCAAAGAGTATTGGGCCCAATTGTGTTTAGATATGTTGGGGTTTAGGCCATCTTTAGAGGACGTGACTAAGACGCAGATCAAAATGAATGCGATCGTACTCATTCCTATTGATGATGATAGCCCAGAGGTTGACTTTCGACAGCATGTTCGGGCATTGATGTTGAAGATTATGGGTGGTGCTCTGTTTGTTAGCACGACGGGTAACAAGGTGAACTTGTGCCTTTTAGAGTTGATCGTTGGCACGGCACAAGAAGTCCGAAGTCGCGCTATAGGCTCCGCAGCATTGGCTTGCCTTTACAATAATTTGTGTCGTGCAGCTCTATCAGATACGGCACAAATCGGGGGGCCTCTCATTCTATTGCAGATTTGGGCATGGGAGCGCATCCCAATGTGTAGACCGCAAGGCTTACTTCCACCTGAGTGTGGGAAAGATGCACCTTATGGGCCGAGGTAATTTTACGAATGAATTGTTTTTTACAATTATTCAATTAATTTAGTACTTAATTTTTTATGTGTTTCTTCACAGGTGGGTGTGTTATCATCGTTGGACAGTGTCACCGTCTCATACCATTCGACCATACAGGGACCAGTTAGACAGGCTACAAGAGAGAGAGGTATATTATATCCATTTTATTATTTCCATTCTATTATATGAATTGTAGTACTGCTATTGACTGTTTTATTTGCTTCTTTACGCAGTTTGTTTGGATGCCATACCCCGATTTCCAACATTTGCATCCTCACTGCACCACAGGGTTCGCAATATGGTGTGCACGTGTTCCGTTGATATACACCTATATGGTGGAGATGTATTACCCAGATTGGTTCTGTCTCCAGTTTGGTGGACTTCAGGATATCCCTCAGGCAGTGCATTATGGTCGTGAGTTACACACAGTCAGGACAACCATAGGGACCATGGTTCCTAGGACGTCACATTTTGTAGCAGAGTGGGAAGGCCGATATCAGAGTATTGTGGATATTGACTTTGATCATCACGGGTACACTGATGCGTATCGACACTGGTATTATCGTCATGGTAGACGCATCATAGGCAACCCAGCTCATGACCACGTATTAGTCCCTGGTTACGTCCCTCTCAATCCGGACGTTCATTGTCTGGTATCTTTATTAGTAACATTTCTTTACTATATTAATTATAGTATTTTTTTTATATAAACTAATTTCTTTATACGTACAGCTTTTCAGTTTGCTTGACATATCACGAAGAACAGATGTAGATCAACCTGAAGAAGGTCACCCCCTCTACACACTTGTGTGTGGCGTGCATGATCAGGTAGTGCAGTCCATTCGTGACGCTAGATACGAAGATATGCTCACTCATCCGATTCAAGTTCCAGCGTACGAGCCTAGGGTGATTCATAGGCGTCCTGATAGACGTCGAGATGCACCGGTGCTTGGTCGGCCCCCCCAAAGACAATGTCAAAACCAGAAGATAGAGGATGATGAATATATTGTTCATCATAGCCCAGAGGTGCAACAGCATGGACCAGATGATGATGAAGTAGGGCCATCTTTCTTTACGCCATCTTCTGTACAGCCCCCATTCGGTGTCGGGGCAACCTCTTCCCATTGTACCACCCCCGCGTATATGACGACACATATGCCTAGCACACAAATTCCACTACCGGCAGACATATTCGGGGACTTCGTATCACAGCTGACTCAAGAGGACAATCTACAAGGTCTCCAGGATCAGAGAGCAGACGTGGCACGACGTAGGCCACAAAGACAGATACGAGGCCGGCGGTGCGGTACAGGGAGTCACTACATTGTCCCAGGACAATATCACGATGACGAATCTGATTCGTAAACATTTATTGAACGTATTTATTGTACTTTAAAGTTTTTTATTATTGTACTTTAAAGTTTTTTATTATTGTATTAATTTGGATGATAAAAATTTTTTAGTCTTCTATTAATTTGGATGATAAAATCTATATTACTGTATTATTTTCGCTAGATATTAATTTGTATAATATCCAATCTAACACCACGAAACATTTTATACCATACAATCCACCTAACCAAAAATAATATCTCACATAACACTACGAACCATCCTACACAATACAATCCACCTAACAAAAAATATCTCACATCTAATACCACTAATCATCCTATACCATATAATCCACCTAAATTAAAAAATTTCAATGTGTGATTTTTATATATGTTTGGTAACTTTTATTATTGTTCTAATTTAATGTCAATATCTAACAAAGGGAAGTTTTTATTTAAATAACTTATTGATTAACAGTAGAGCCAGTATCGTTAATATAAAAAAAATATATTACGGTACTGGCAGTCCCGTTATATCCTATGTCCCACATCCTGCGCAGAAAGTCAGACCCCCTTCACCATTTGGGAATAGATTTCCCAAATCTGCACTGATTGGGAAATCACCCATCCCATACATGGGTCATCAGAATAATCTAGAGCATACATTAAGAATTTTGGGAAATCACCACATGCATGCCTCTTTCTCTCACAGGCATCCCTCATCTCCATTCATCTCAGCAATTTCAATTTTAAGAATTTTGAATTGTCCGCTTATTAAGTAAGACAATTTTCTTTGATTTGAGTTTTTTTTTAATTCATATCTATTTAAAAATAAAAAAGATTTGAAGTCATCAGTTTTTTTCTGGCCAATCTTTTGAATAATGAGTCAATTTAATTTGTTGCGTGCTAAGTAATAAAGGCTGAGTTTCTACTGAATACAAAGTTGTAATTGGCAGCTTGCAGGGACTAGTTTTGGCTTTGAAGCTTGCACTCTTAAGGTTTTAGAGGTTTGGTTTCACCCTTTTCCAAGGGGCTTTGGTTTGGTCCTCTTGTTGTATTTTCTTTTTCTTTTAATTCAATAAAAATTTGGTTTTTAAATAAATTAAATATGCACTTTCTTAAATAAAAATCCAAGTATAAAATATTACTCCCTTCGTCCCAAAAAGAATTTCTTATTTTGATTAGCGTGCAAAACTCAGTGAATTTTAAAATGATTTTATTTGAAAATTGGTAAGAAATAACAAATAAAAAAAATTATATTTAAAAAATACATTGAAAACTCTACAAAATAAGAGGTGACAAGAATATTTTATTTTATCAAATGATCAATGAAAACACGCAAACAAATTGGAGTTATCGAGAGGCTGTAATAGAAAACAGAAAAAACTCTTTGCGACGAGTGAGTATTATTTTTTTAATAGATACTCCCTTCATCCCATAAAGTGTTACCCATTTTGACTAAAGTTGAAATTAAAGAAAGGATAATTTTGTGTTGACTTTCCAAAAATAACCTTGATGTGATGGGTAAAAGTAGGATGTGATGTGTAGATTATTAGGAAAAGATATGATGTGATAGGTAAGGTTTGAAAAAGTAAGGAGTAAAAGTAGTTTTTTAATAGAAGTGTGTAAAAAATTTTGGGACGCAATTTTTTTGAAACGTGTAAATCATTTTGGGACGAAGGGAGTAGTACAACATAAAATGATATTAATTTTTTTACTAGATATTATAAAATAATGCTTCATCCATCCTGCAAAACATTTCTTGTTTTGATTTTTGGGTAGAGAAACTATTGAAGTTTGACCAAAGTAAAATGACAAAAATTGAAACGAGTAAGGCTCGAGAAATTTCAAAATGAGTAGGACGCATAAGATAGTTGAAATAGGTTCAGTTAATACCATTTGGATATTAACCGTTGGATAAGATAGTAACTGTTGGATATTCATAGAAATTGATTGGACAATCACCGGGAATACCATTTGAATGATGAACGTTGCAGTTGTTCACATGCATTACTTGTAGTGGTTTGCCAAACCCTAAGTTTTCCAAATTAATTAGGATCATAGAAATTAATGTTGTTATTATTAATCAAGTAGTCATCCTCATGAAAATGACACAATAGGAGTGGTTCCTTTGGGGCATGGTTTTACTATTGTCTTCTTTCCCTTTGGGGTTTTAATTTGTTGCATATCGTTATTCTGGTGGGATTTATGGTTGGTTGCTCGAATTTTTTCTTAGCTTTTAAGAGAGTGAATTTTGCATCATTCATTGTGTCTGCATTGAGGAATAAAGGCTGGCCTCCATTTGGGACACAAAATTTGGTGACCAGGGGTTGAGAGATATCAATCTCAACATAAATCCTAGCCAAAATTTTCTGTAGTTGTTTCTAGCTTCATACGAGTGTCAAAGATGCTAGGAATAAAAACATATATATTCAAGTGAAAAAATTGAAATAAAAACATATATACATAAAATCATGGCTTCTACTACAATTTTACGTGAACCGTTGCATCTATTTGGAAACATTTGAATGTTACACGCCTTTCCACGTACAACGGGCACTGTCACTTATACTAACATAAGGTATTTCACAAGTGCCATATTCCCCTCATATTGTGCACCAAGTTACCTTTTATGTTTTTAGTCATCAACTCTTGTTCTAGTCCAATCTGAGGTGAATATGCCAAAACAAAAGAGACCACATTGCATATATGCATATAGTATTGGAATCTTAGAAACGAAAACTAGGGCCATGAACTCATGGCATTGACTCTTTGTGTTGCTCGGAGGGTTGTCCTAAAGGAGGAGCTGGTGAGAATAATTCAACGCTTGAAAAATGCAATATCTCAACTGCAATTGGTTTTGATAGCCTCCTCTAAACTTTGCATGCAATCAAAATCAACTTTGAATGTGACCATAGCCGCACCAGGTTTCCCCTGTATCATAATCTTGTTTAATATCCTCAACTTAAAAACTTTGTAGCTGGTGGTACAGAGCCCTTAAAAGATCAAAAGGAACCTCTATGCCCATAGGAACCTTAGATGAATTTCTCAAGAATTACATGGAAATTCCCCCATAAGCTCTTACTAATCCTCTAGTTCCAAGTTTAATTCCTCCAAAATATCTGGTTTGAAAAAAAAACAATGACTCTATCCAATCCTGAAGAAAAAATTGCAGATTATGGTTCACCATCATCATTACGTCAGTACTGATCTTCAACCTTGTAAACCCAACAATTATGTATTGCACGAGGATCGCTTACCTCCAAAAGGAAGGATTCTGCCTGGAGTTGGTCGCATGCATGGCCAATGATGGCAATGAACTTGCTCTTCTTGACCTTCTTTTCACAAGTGTATCTGCCTTCGACTGTGCTGAATGCCCCTACAATTTTGATTAAACTCTATAATCAAAATACCTTGCCTGGAATCATTCCACATGAAATCAAACTTTGTAAATCATTTTACATTCTACAAAATATGCACTGCAAAATTTTTACAATGAATTGAACATTGAAAATAATGCACTAAAAATGCAAAGTATATGAGTAGGAACCACTGGAGAATGCAGTACTTGCTTTATTTGATGCACAACATTACAAAAATTGATGCACTAATTATTAGCAATCCCTTCATATTTTAGTTGTTTGATGCACAAAGTGAAAATGCATAAAAAAACGATGTCAATTTGTCTTTTTTTTTCCTTTTTTGGTGTTTTGTTCATAAAAGCAACTCTCGAGCAGATTCTTAATTTAAGACAAATGTGCAATATCATAGGTTAATACATAAGCAACTCTCGAGCAGATTCTTAATTTAAAACAAATGTGCAATATCATTGGTTAATACATAACAACTCTCGAGCAGATCCTTGCTGTTTTATATCATAGGTTCCTACATATCAAAAAATAGACTTTTCACAAACTCAAAGAGCTGGCAGTTAAATTTTAAATGATGAAACTGCCATAAAGTAATTGAGATACCCCGCACCTCATCACAAAGTTTTCTAATCATCAAGTCAAGCAAAAAACTAGAACCTTCATCCTCAATTCATCTTAGCCCATCAGAATTAATCCAAGAGTACAGATAAGAAGTAACAACTAAAAACTTAGAGATGTTGATTACAAGTTCAATTCAACTAAATCAATTAGAACTAAATTTTGAAATCTTGACATTTTGAAAGCTTGACATCCGCTAGCGCGCACCCCTCCGACTTCTCACAACTTCCAACAATCCCTTCTTTGTGCTCTCCACCGAGCAACCCTTGAATGTACTGCCTCCGTAGCCACTCTTCACAACTTGAGTTGTGCAACCTTAGGCCCCAACTCCTCAAGTTTAACCTTCTTGAGAAGTCCTAAACTGTTCCTCAATGAATCAATCCCACCAATGCGGCAACTTCTCATCAACTCCGATTCCCCATCTTTATCAAAATAGTGATTGCTAGTCGCCGAGTATAACGCCCATACCTTGGACAACCGATCCCAATTGCTAACAAAATTACCAATGTAGGGAAAGGTTTCCACTTCATCCCGATAGCAAAACTCAAATACCGGGGGGTGCTAATAACATCCTAACCTCTTCCAAATCGTTTGCATTTGGAGAGGAAGCAAACCACTTAAAGCAACAATTTTTATCGGGCAGCTCCGACTCTGTCTCAATCTCACTGCAAACAAGACCTAAATACACTTGGTGTCTAATAGGGATAAAGCGGACAGCCTCAGTAATGTGGAAGAAAAACAGCTCACATCCTTTTTTCCTTATATCTGCATCAGTATCATTCACATCAATCAACGCCTCCATCATCGGTCTAGCTCCCAACTTCCTTGGGTAACCCTTCTTATAGGCGCTGGTTTGATCAATTTTAGGAGTCCCATCAATGGTATAAGGGTGATCCGAGAAAATGTGTCATTTTCCAGAAAAGAAATAGCCTATCACATACACAGAGCTTTTCTCAATAAGAAATCTTGTTTCCATCGATCCATTGCAAACAGAAGTTTCAATCAAAGGAAAGCCACTCCCATAGATATGGTTGCTTGAGTTTTCTATTTTTGCTCTGATTGAGGTGCCAAATTTTCTAACATCTCTGAGGCTCATGGGATTGGCTTTCCGTTGATTGAAATTTCTGTTTGCAATGGATCAGTGGAAACAAGATTTCTTATTGAGAAAAGCTCGGTGTATGTGAGAGGCTATTTCTTTTCTGGAAAATAGCACATTTTTTCGGATCAGCCTTATACCATTGATGACCATTGATGGGACTCATAGAATTGATCAAACCAGCGCCTATAAGAAGGGTTACCCAAGGAAGTTAGGAGCTAGACCGATGATGGAGGCGTTGATTGATGTGAATGATACTGATGCAGAGATAAGGAAAAAAAGATGTGAGCTGTTTTTCTTCCACATTACTGAGGCTGTCCGCTTTATCCCTATTAGACACTAAGTGTATTTAGGTCTTGTTTGCAGTGAGATAGTGAGATTGAGACAGAGTCAGAGATGCACGATAGAAATCGTTGTTTTAAGTGGTTTGCTTCCTCTCCAAATGCAAAAGATTTGGAAGAGGTTAAGATGTTATTGGCATCCCCGGTATTTGAGTTTTGCTATCGGGATGAAGTGGAAACCTTTCCCTACATTGGTAATTTTGTTAGCAATTGGGATCGGTTGTCCAAGGTATGGGCGTTATACTCGGCGACTGGAAATCACTATTTTGATAAAGATGGGGAATCGGAGTTGATGAGAAGTTGCCGCATTGGTGGGATTGATTCATTGAGGAACAGTTTAGGACTTCTCAAGAAGGTTAAACTTGAGGAGTTGGGCCTAAGGTTGCAAGCTCAAGTTGGGAAGAGTGGCTACGGAGGTAGTACATTCAAGGGTTGCTCGGTGGAGAGTACAAAGGGGGGAATTGGCGGAAGTTGTGAGAAGTCGGAGGGGTGCGCGCTAGCAGATGTCAAGCTTTCAAAATGTCAAGATTTCAAAATTTAGTTCTAATTGATCTAGTTGAATTGAACTTGTAATTAACATCTCTAAGTTTTTAGTGTTTACTTCTTATCTCTACTCTTAAGCTTAATATTAAGATCAGCCACAAATCGATCTCCTTTCTTTGACCCCGATGAGGTTATAGCCTGTGAAATTTACAATAGAAGATATTACCTATGAGTATGCTAAAACACACACATGACCTTAAAATCTCAAAATGCACACAGACACACAAATCAAAGATTGCTAGAAATCTAAAACATTCAATAACATTAAAACAGCTCCAACAATTATCTTGAATAGTTCATAAATTAGACCTTAATATACTCTAATGAGTCAAGCAGTCTCATTAAGCATGATGTGCCAAAATCAAAGCTAAGTCACAATAGATGCAAAATTTGTAGCTTTTCATAAATCCACAAATGTTAGGCTTTAATGAGAAAAGCCTAGCTACATTTACATTTACTTAACAGAACCGATTGAAACTAGAAGGAAACTCACAACTCTAGTTGGCGATTGGGTAGTGAAAAGAGACATTGCAGATATAGCAGATTTTGCCGGAGTTGCTGCCCAAACGCCGGCGTCGCCGGCCTGCCTTCTAGACACCTTTGCTGCTATTTTCGCCGGAGTAGAGGAGGCTTGCTGGACTCCCCACTGTTTCTCCGGAAAAGATGGAGGCCACTCCCCCCGCCTTCTCGCCGCTGCTACCTTGTCGCCGGTGGAGATCATCACCACCACCCCTGTGTGTGATCGGAAATATACCTGTGAAACTATACCTGAGAAAATTAACACTATCGCACTCAATATGATGCTCTTCCTTTCAATTCCAGAAAAGAAAAAAAATTGAAAAGGGTATATGAATAGTAACTCGAGCAACAGTATTACTATTGCCTATTATTATGGTGGCATCACCTCAAAATCAGTACCAATTGCCTACTATTGAAATTAAAGGGGCATCACCTCAAGTTCAAACGGCTGAGCAGCTTATTCAGGTAGTCTCCCATCTTAGCTGATTCTTGTCTCTTTAGCTTTGTTACATTGCAATTGGTAATGATTTTGCTTTGGGCTGTTGCCTGCTGCTCAACCTCAATGTTGGCACATGAAGCTAGTCACCAAAAGAATAGAGGGAAAAACCATTGATTTCATTCAATTTTAATTAAACTTGTGCTACAGCCACCATAAAAATAGGCAATAGTACCGTGTGGAAGGCCACCATTTTCAATTTTTCACATGTTTTTAAAGTTAAGTAGCAAAAATATACCCTCATTCAATCAGTATTACCCTCAAAAAGCAAGCAAAACGAGCCCAATACAGCCCAGACCAGTAGAGCACTCTACACAGGATAAACCAAGAACATGAACAGTAACTCGAGCAACAAAAATGAATGAGACCAAATCAAGTTGTGTGAATCAAAAATCCAACAGCATATGTTTAAAGGCCTTTAAGTCACGACCACAATACCAAAAAATGGGAGAAAAATCAAGCCAGAAACATGGGTAAACCTGGGGTTCACTTCAGCGCTGTGAAAAGTGACGAAGAACCCAAATTTTGCTCAAATCACAATCTCTTTGAATTGGAATGGAAATCCAATCTAAGGTGTTGAGAGAGCATCCCATGTCGCCCATAATCCCCCAAAAATCTGCCTTCAAACAAGCTTGAACCGAGGTGAATTCAACATTCAAAAGTCGCAGGTGAACAGTGACCCGTGAGGGTTGACCTGCGATTCTTGCCCTATCCAGCTTCCAAAACGTCAAATTGAGCTGAGAAATGAGTTGCCCTGCCCAAAACGATCCTAGAGCTCCAAGGATCGCACCAAAAATCCAACAAATTCAAGAGGAAAGCATGGGTTTAGTTACGGCAGTGAATAGTAGCCCGAGGAAACGTGCCCAGCGAACCAGACCCTAGAGAGAGAACGGAGATGGCAAAGGAAGTTTTGGGAGAGTGCGAGAGTGGATGTTTTCAAGATAAGAACAGATCTTATGGCTGGAATATTCTTCTAATGTGATGCAAGTTGATTTGTTGATAGATGATGTTGGATCTGGAATTATTACTCCCTTATTAGCCTTACGAGGATGGGTTTGGGGTAAATTTAAAAAAAATGATAACACGAAAATTTTGATTCGGTACCGAAACTTTAAAAACCTTTCAAAAAAATACTTGAACTTTGAAAACCTTTCACGAATGGTACTTGAAGCCGGTTTTCAGGTAACCAGCAGGTCATTTGAGCCAAATTTTAATTTTTTGTACTCCGTATTTTATAATTTTTAAATTCACCCAGTTTCTTTTTCTTCCTTTCCCTCCCTCACCCCTTCTTTGTCTTCGTCTTCTTTCACCCCTTTTATTTTTCTTCTTTTTCACCCCCTTTTATTCTTCTTTTTCAAAGTTCCCCTCACCCCCTTTTGTTAATTTTTTTGTTTTTTTCCTTTTTCCTGATATTTTTATATTATTTGTTTGTTTACGAGATTTTTGTGGACTTTTTTTGTAAGTTTTTTATCTATTCTCTTAAGAAGTGTTTTATTTTGTTGTTTGTTTTACTTTTTTATTTTATATTTAATAAATTTATGTAAACAAAAAGATCAAACTATACATAATTAAACAAAAAAGATCAAACTAAATAAGACATATAGTGTCATTTTTTCATATTTTTTCATCTTATTTGTTTGTTTTTGAAAAATATGAAACAAAAAATGGTACTATATGTCTTATTTTTTGTTTGTTTTTTTAGAATTTTCTGTTGTCTTGTTTTTTTTTCATTTTTTAGTTATTTATGTAGGGTTTATTTTATTCACTTGTTTTGTTTAATTGTTTAAAATAAAGATTTATAAACAGACAAAAAAATATGATGCGTGCTTTGATTTTTTGTTTAATTAAAATGATTAAACACAATTGATTAAGTCAAACAAAAATATAAAAAAATAAAACAAACAAAAAAATAGACATTTGTTGGCAACAAAAAAGTTTGTACAAAAATCGTAAACAAACAATATTAAATTATCAAGAAGAAAATAGAAACAAACAAAAAAATATACAAATAAAATAGAGGGAAAACAAAAAAAATAAAAAGAAATATATCAAAAAAATTGAAAAAAAAATAAAAAAGTTATTCAACAAAAAATTCGAAAACAAAAAAAAACACTTAAAGAAGAACTTAAAATTAAACAAAAAAAAGAGGGGACTCAAGAAGGGGGGTGGGGTTAAATAAGTAGGGAGGGGTGGGTTGTTGTGAGTGGAGGGTTTAATGAAGAAGAAGAAAAAAAATGGGTGAAAGAAGGAAGAAAAAGACAAGAAGGGGTGAAAGAAGGAAGAAGAAGAAAACAGGGGGGAAAGAAGAAGAAAATGAAGGGAGTTGGAGGGGAGAGAAGAAGGAAAAAAAATGAGGTCAAATTGAAGATTTTAAAATATATAAAATTGTAATTTGGCCCAAATGACCTGATGATTACCTGAAAACCGGCTTCAGGTACTATTTGTGAAAGATTTTCAAAGTTCAGGTATTTTTGTTAAAGAAAAAAAAGTCTAGGTACCAAAACGAAAAATAGCTAAAAGTTCAGATACCAAACATGAAATTTACCCGATCGGTTTGGGAATGGGGTGTTCTAAACAAATTAGAATTTGATAAAAAATTTTCTTTTTCTTATTATTATAGTGTTGAAAATTTTTAGTCTTGGAAAAATTTCTAAGCAATTTTATGTTAATTTTTTCTTCTTATTTTTACTTTTTTGTTTATTTGGAAAAGATGTCCACTTTTGACTTTTTTTAAATGAAAATTGGTAAACTTTGATCTCAAATTAAATAAAAATGATTTTAGATATTGATACAAAAAGAGTTTTATTAGATTTATTATACCAAATATTTTCAAAATATTATTTTATTTAATTACATACAATATATATTTTATTTAATTATAGGTCAAAGGTTGAAAATAGTTGACCGAAAAAAGTCAAAACTGGACAAATACTCAGAGACGGAGGTAGTAATAAATTATATTATTTACATCTGAATGAAATTATAGTATCATTACAGACATTTGAACTTACACAAAGTTTAAGTGGGATGAGGAGAAGAAAATGGTGACAATCAACATAGACGACTTGAAAGATTGGAACGAATATTGCAAGGTAATATTATTGCTACTTGAAAAATTTGGTGTTAATTATATGCATTGTGTGTTTAAGCTTTTATTGGGTAATTTGTTTATCTCTCTCATTGTTTTTTATTAACATATTGTTAAAAATATTCTGTCCTTTTCTTTTTGTTTGTCCCATTATTATCTCTGTATTTGATTCTTTGTGTGAAGAAGACAGTATTTGTGGTGATCCATTTGGCCACCTGCAACTGCTCTCTCTCTCTTTCTCTCTCTTTATCTATATATTTGTGCATATATATATATATATATATATATATATATATATATATATATATATATATATATATATACCATTTCTGTCACTGGGTGCCACTTGTTGTAGAATGAGATTCTATATATCTTTTTTTCCTTATATTTTTATAATTAATTTTAGAACAGCTCTCTGCTAATTGAACTCATTTCTTTATGGCATTCTTTAAAGAAAGAATATATAGTTGAGATTTTTACCCATTTGGATGTGCTTTCTTCTTCATTGATACATGACAGTATGTCCTCTGTGTTTCCTTTTTGGGTTTTAGCACAATGGGTATATGATTACACTCCAACACAAGATAAATATGATGCATTGGCCTTTCCAAAGGGATTTCCATTCTTTATCCTCTTTTTTTATAACCAAGAAATTTATATATTCAACTTGCATATCTCTGCAACTAGTGCAATGGGGTGTGGCTATTTGCCCAATGACATGTGCAACAGATTGCCCCTTGTCTTTGTGACCCAAAAAGGGTTTCCTAACACTTTTTTTGCATGCAGAGTCATCCACCAGCAAGCTCCTATAGAAATAAGACTATGACAATTGGGATGATATTTGTATTCTCTTTGGATCAGATAGAGCCTTAGGAGATGGTGCAGAACAATATGATGAAGCGGCTCAGGCTATGGATGAGGAGATGACGAGTGAAGGAATGAGCACGTCAACATGCTCTGTGTCGAAGAAGGTGAAGAAAGATCGTCTGGCAGATGCAGTTACAAGTTTTGCAAACTCATTCAACGAATATGTTCAAAGCAAGATCAATATGACTTCAAAGGCGGGCGGGAAAGAAATCCATGACGTTGTTTCAAAAGTGGATGACATACTTCGTCATCAAGTGTTGAAAGCTGTTAAGAAGTTTATGAATATGCTAGATGAGTTTCAAATGCTCAAGGACTTGCCTGAAGACGAGAAGCTAGATTGGATTTTGTTATGCTTGTAAGAGTGATCGAGTTATGAACAACTATGCAATATTAAATATTTAATACAAATTAATACTTTTTTAATTGTCATACATTAGTATGTATTTTTTTTGAAACAATTGGTCATTATGTTATTTGAGATTATGTTTACAATATTTTAGTCATTAAAGATTTGAAATGAAATTCTAGTACTTGCCAAACAACATCAGAATTTGAATTCTAGAATTGAAATTATGAATTTTCCAAACAGCATTTGGATTTGAAATTTTGAATTTTGAATTTCTTGTGTTTGCCAAACACCAAAATAGAATTTGAATTATGGAATTTCAAATTATAGAATTGAATATCAAAAATTGAAATGAATTCCCCTATCCAAACACTACCTAATATACTTTCATTGCTACACGTTAAATGTACGATACTTCATAAGAAAATTATATCTTAGTCCTCGTATTGATAACACCTAATTAGATCAAATCGGACCAAAACAGATCTAATTAGATTGAATCACACCAAATTAGATCGAATGAGACAAAAACAGATATAATCGGATCGAATCAAATTCAAATCCAGTATGAAAATCTATTCACTTTTATAGGTTGTGTCCTATTTGTCTGATCTAATCTTTAAATGTATTATATTAAATCTAAATAGATCGAATCAGACCAAAACAGATCCAATCGGATCGAATCAAATTTAAATCCAATAAGATTAGATCAAAACTTGAAGGAAATCTATTCACTTATATAGGTTGTGTCCTATTTGCTTGATATAATCTTCAAAAGCATTAGATTAGATCTAATTAGATCGAATCAGACTAATATAGATCTAACCAGAACGAATCAAATTCAAATCCAATAAGATCAGATCAAATCTTCAAATAAGATCTATTCACTTGTGTAGGTTGTGTCCTATTTGCCTCATATAATCTTTAAATACATCAGATCGGACCTAATTAGATCGAATCAGACTAAAATAGATCTAATCAGATCGAATCAAATTCAAATCCAATAAGATCAGATCAAATCTTCAAATAAGATCTATTCACTTGTGTAGGTTGTGTCTTATTTGCCTCATATAATCTTTAAATGCATCAGATCGAACCTAATTATATCGAATCATACCAAAACAGATTTAATTGAATCAAATCAAATTTAAATTCAATGTGATTAGATCAAAATTATTCAAAGAAAATCTATTCAGTTGTATAGGTTATGTCCTATTTGCCTGATCTAATCTTTAAACGCATTAAATCGGACCTAATTATATTGAATTAGACCAAAAAAGATCTAAACTGATCAAATCAAATCAAATTCAAATCCCATAAGATCAGATCAATTCTTCAAAGAAAATCTATTCATTTGTATCGATTGTGTTCTATTTGACTGATCTAATCTTTAAACGCATTAAATCGAACCTAATTAGATCGAATAAGAACAAAACAGATCTAATCGGATCAAATCAAAATCAATTCCAATAAGATCATATCAAAACTTCAAGGAAATGTATTCACTTATATAGGTTGTGTCCTTTTTGCTTGATCTAATACGGAGTATTTAAATGCATTAGATCGGATATAATTTGTTACAACTATTTGAAAACTCACTTTTCGGTTCGGTACATTATCGTTCCAATTCGAAACAATATCGAACCGGTATTTTTACATACCCCTAATTGAAAATGGTCAATAGGAGTGAGAAAATTTATGAACCAAAATACTTTTTTGTTTCAAAAATCAGATTGCTACTCTTAAAAATTTTCAAGTTCATCTCAAATTTTAGAACCCCTAGAAAATTTTCATTGCCCGCCTAATATTGCATTACCCGCAAAAAAAACCCCATCTCTTGCCACTTCGTTGTTTTTCTTTCTCTAGCCGTGCGATGAACAGTACCAGGGAATCGCCGATTACTCCATCGATTTGAGCTTGTTTTGCATCAAATTTTTGGAAATCAGGGACGCCTACAGCAGGTGATTCCACATTTGAACTTTATTTGCTGTTTTTGTTGATTGATTTTGAGGAATCGAAGGTCAACGCCATGGAAGCTACTGTTCACTCGAAGTTTTATCTCTCTGTTACGTAGTAGTATTTCTGGGCTGAAAAACTATTGTATTCTCTCTTGGTTATTTACAATACAATGGGGAGTATATATATACAGCAAGGTATTCCTAATAGGATTAGGAATGCTAAATAAAAGGAAGCTACCATATACAAGTCTAATACAAATCAAAGACTAATATTCTAATATTCCTTTTCCTTCTCTAACACCCCCCCTCAAGTTGGAGCATGTAGCAATGAAATGCCCAACTTGGGAATCAAGAATTCAAGTCGTGCTTTGCCCAGTGCCTTTGTATGCATATCAGCTAGCTGATGTGTAGTGGAAACATGATCTGTCTTGATGACTCCTCGCAGTAGTTCGTCTCGAACAAAATGGCAATCGACTTCGATGTGCTTCGTACGTTCATGGAAAACAGGATTGGTTGCGATATGTAATGCGGCAGTACTGTCACACTTTATGGTCATAGGCTTCGAATGTTCAATCCCAAGAGAACCAAGTAGACTCTTGAGCCACTTTAACTCACAAGTGACCGCGGCTAGAGCTCTGTACTCAGCTTCT